ACAATTTGTTGTCTTTGGTTCAGTGTAAGGGTCATTTAAATTGCACAACTGAAACATGCTAAGAAAACTGTAGAGGAGAGAAGGTAGTTTGTGTCCTACAGTTGATTAATCTAATGAATCTGGTTTGTTTCAAGTAACTGTATTTCTATTCATAGCCACTGAAAGGCCAGAAATTATATGCTTTAATTCTACTTCTTTTTGTTCTTATTGAACTGAGATTTGCTTCATGGTGAAAACATTTGTTCTCAAAGTACATCTTTGGGAAATTAGTTAAATACCTGGGATTGGCTTTCAGGACAAAAGAATCAGTTTTGGCTACTCCAGAAAGGTGTGGTGGCAAATGATACTGCAGTGTCTGAAGGTCAAAGTAGAATCACTGAAGTCTGAACCGTTGCCTTTGACCCCTTCTCTCTGAGGATGACAGAGATAGCTGGGGACCTGGGGAAGGTTCTTCATGCTATTGTTGCCTAACTGTAAAAATTCAAAAATGGCAAGTTGATCGATGCCACTTTATATCAAGGAATTACATTCCATGAGTTTTTCTCTGTTTTATTCATAGTTGTATCCTCTGGGCCTAGAATAGTGCCTACTACTTAGAAGGTGTCTAATAAATATTTCTCAAATTAATTTTTCCAAAACCTGATGCCCCAGTACAAAAGCTAACTCCTTATGTGCAAAAGCAGATCAGATCCCCTATTTAAGGATAGTATACTATCAATCTTTTCATATCTATTACCTCATTTAATCTTTTTAAAAGCTGTGATGGGGGAGAATTACATTATCTTAATTTAAAAATAATAATAGCAATGAGTTTTTAAAAGGAGAACACTAGTGTTATGGACTGAATGTTTGTATCCCCCCAAAATTCATATATTAAAACCATACTCCCCAAAGTGACAGTATTAGGAGGTGGGACCTTTAGGAAGTAATGAGGTTTAAATGAGGTCATGAGAGTGGAGCACTTGTAAATGCAATTAGTGCCTTTGTAAGAATTATAAGAGAGCTTACTTCCTCTCTCTGCTCTCAGCCACACAAAGATACAAGGAGAAGTCAGCAGTTTGCAGTCCAGCCCAAGAGAGAACCTTTACCAGAACTCGCCTATTCTGGCTCCCTGGTCTCAGACTTTCAACTTCCAGAACTGTGAGATATAAATTTTTGTCGTTAATAAATCACCCAGTCTATGATGTTTTTTATAGCAGCCTGAACTGAATAAGACAGCTAGAAAACTTGCCCAGGTTTCATGGACTAAGTATCAGAGTCAAAATGGTAAGTGGTAAAGAGACTGTGGGAAAAGACTGTGCCCTGCTGTCAGTCATTTCTTCCTACTTCTTCTCGTGGGCAATTGAGGACAATACCTCGGGGTCTGGAATGGAGTATGTCCGAAGTCACCTGAACCAGTCAACATCTGCACAAATACAGGGTTAATCTCTGATCAATGTTGATCAGCAAAATATTTAGAAAAAACTTTTTATTCTAGGTGTATAAAAATATTGATATGTTTAAAAAACACATTTGAAATTTAATTTTTGAATATACAATCCATTCACTTGATTTAGATTTAAAGTTCACAAAGTATAAAATAATGCACTAGTGTCTTTTAGCCACCCTGAGCATAAAACTCAGAAAGCATGAGCTTTTAGCTGTATTCAATAGGCCTAATACATAGTATTTTTTTATTATCATTCTTTTATATGTGTTCTGCAATTTCTGTTTGGATTGTCTCTTGACCCAAGAACTTTAAGATAAAGTCTTTGTATTTTATTTTCTTTCTTATTTGCTTTTCTCCTCCTTTCTAAAAAGATTTTCTCAGTTTGTTATAAGTTTTTGTTGTATTTACTGGGATTACAGAATATTGTTTGTGCTATTTCCACTTTTTAGGCTTTATTTAGGTTTTTTTGCATGACCTGGTATATGGTTTTGCTTGTTTGTTTGTTTTTTACTATTACAGGCCCTTAGAAATAAAGAATGTTCTGCAGAGTTGTGTGTGTATCCATGTATGTAGTTATGTAGGTGTTCTTTTTTTTATATCCAGTCAACTGTCATGAATTATGAAATAGTAATCAAAATCTCTCACTGCAAATCTCTTATATTTCTTATGCTACTTTTTGACTGTATAAATATTGATAGTATATTATTTGATGTACAGATATTCATAACTATTATAAATTGTACATTTTAGCATTAAAATGTACCCTTCTTTATTTAATGCTTTGAGGTCTGAGTTCAATCTGCCAGATAGTAAAAGTATAACCCCTGCCTCCTTTTGTTTTCACTGGCCTGGTATATGTTTATCAGTTCTTTTATATTCTGCCTTTATGAGTCATTTGTTTTAGGTGTAGCTCTTGTATACAACATAAAATTGGGTTTTAATATGTGATCTGATCTGAAAGTCTTTTTCTTTTAATAAGTGAATTTAGGCCTTACCGATATGACAATATGCTTAATCGTAGTATGTCATTATTTATTCATTTACTTACCTCATTTCTATTAATTTTTTACTGTATTCAATTCCCTTCTTCCCTTCACTCTCCTCCATCATCTGATATTAATCAATTATATTATCTTCTTAGTATTTAAATTTTTCTTCTTAAATATATTTGATACTTAATAACTATTCTGTCACTATGGCACTCCACCACAGTTTTTTAAAATGAGGAGAAATAATTTACTCAAACTTCTTTCCTCTTTCCACTCCTAATTTTTGCTGTAATTTTTTCTATACTGTCAGGGTATATAACAGTTAACTCTGTTCTATCATCCTAATTTCCATTCTTATTTCAGTGTTTTAGGTATATCTATTTAAAGATTGAGTGTTCATCAACAGTGCTTTTATATTCATTCTTCACTTCCCATTTATCTATTTTAAGCTTTTTTCTGTATGAGAATCCTCAAGACGTCTCATGGGAACAACATTCCCTAAGAATCTGATGTTTAATGTGTCAAAGTGTTGCCTCATACTGAACATCAGTTTGAGGAAGTATAAAACCCTTGGTCGTGCTTTTGTTCTTTGACTTTTTTGCCAAAGTTCCTTTACTTTCTCTTAGCATTGACTTTGCTATGCAGAAGTCTCAAGACAGCCTGATGTTTTCATCCCTTAGAGGTATGTATTTTGCTTCACTCCTCAAAGGTTTCTTTCTTTATCTTTACAGATCAGCATGCTTACTTGATTATAACTCTATGTTGTTTTTCCTGGCTCAATTTCCCCTAGGACATGATGTGTACTTATGTAGATTCAAACTTCTTTTATTTCAGGGAAGTGAATTATAAATACTTGCTCTGATCTATTATTTTGTTTTTCTCCACTGGGAATTGCAAAGTCTCTCTTTGCCCGTCCTCCATATCTATCCTTTTCTCTCTGATCTTTCTTTACATTTTTCTTCATCCTATTTTATATTTTACAGTTTACTGTGTTTTCAACAAAGTTCCCTTACAAACAGTAAAAAGATATAAAAGGAAATATAAACATAGGAAAAAGGAAGAAATACAAATTAAATACAAATACAAATAGTAGCATGTTTGTTTTTAATTGTCTCTCTTGTCTACTCTCCCTTGTTTCTCTTCTATTGTCTATCCCTTCTATTTGTTTTTCTTCATAGTTCCTGAGCTTTGCCATCTCACGTTTCATTTCTTTCTATTATCTCATCATCTCCTCCCAGAGCTCTTGCATTTCTGCCCGGTGCTCTTGTTTCATGGAAGCGATTTCTTCATATGTTTTTAATTCACTTTGCATTTTGTGTGTGTGTGTGTGAGAGATGTAAATCTGCTATTTGCTTTTCCTGTCTTCTTCTTCCTCCTTGTCCTCCTCTTCATCTTCCCTCTGTCTTTCCCTTCTTCCCCCGTATCTCCTTTTATACCTTTTTGCTGTTATTTTTCGATAAGGGGAATAAAATTGGATTAATTGATTAACATACTTTAATTACTAACCCATGAATGGACATATTTTATTTTTTATTTTTTTCACATTAATAATAGAATAAACACCTACAAAACCACCACTCAATATTAGAACTGGAATATTGAATACATCAACAACTGTTTGCACCTCACTCGCTCTGTTTCCCATCCAGATCAAAACTAATTACTATCCTGAAATTTAGCTTTATCATACTCCTGCCTTTCAAAATTAGAATTCTATCACACAAATGTTATATGTGATATAAGTATATATGGTTACATATATGTTTTATAAAAATATATATATACACAAACATCTTCCTAAAACATATGTTGTCTGACTTGCTTTCAACTTTATAAAAGCCATTTAAACATATGACACATGATGTACAAAGAGATTTTTAAATTTATTATTGGTCAGAAAAATAAAGATCAAGTAATGTTTTATAACCATTCTATTGGCATTGGCAAAAATTAAGTTTAATATTAATATCTGTTTGAGATCTATTTTCCATAAACATTCCTGTTTATTCCCCTTTTTTTCTTTGTTGTAGCAATTTTTGTAAATTTGTAAGCTGCTATTCTCTTTTTGTCACTCACTTTTGAGGGAGGTGGGTTTTAACTCCTGAGATCAATTATTTACAGAAAAATTCATATAGAGTGTGGAGTATGTTCCTAAATATCTGAATTTTTTTCTGTAATCCAAGATTTTGGCATTAAATTAGGTCTAAACTTTTTCCAACAAATGAGTTTTGATTTAGATCAATTATACAAGAAAAAAGGCATACAGATTAGGAAAGAAGAACAAAACTGCCTTTGTTCATAGAAAATATGATAGTCCATGTATAAAAGTACAAGAAATCTACAAAAAATGACTTTAGAATTAATAAATGAGTTAGCAAGATTGTAGGATAGAAAGTCAAGTACAAAATTCCATTGAATCTATATATGAGCAACAAGGAATCAAATTAAATTTTTTTAAAATTTACAGTATGAAACATTTAGAGATAAATTTGATAAAATGTGTGCAAGACCTATACATTAAAAAGTACACAATGCTTCTGAGAAAAATTAAAGATCTAAATAAGTAAAAGAATATAGCATGTTCATAGATTTTTTTTGTAGTTCATGTCTTTTATTAACCCATATATAATGACTTGTCTATTGAAACAATAGATTAGACAACATTTGCCACAATAATGTCTGTCAAAGTGGCTGGCGGTAAAAACTCCAGCACCACATTCATCTGAAGGGCACTCCCAACCAAGGCGGCTCATTTTGCCATTCTCATCCACCTTACAGTATTTCAGAACAGCCAGCTTAAGCTTCTGTCTCGTATGCTTATTCTTCTGGGGAGTGGTATAAGATTTCCTTTTCTTAGCAACACAAGATGAAGCGTGGACTCCTTTTGAATGTTGTAGTCAGACAGAGTACGTCCATCTTCCAGTTGCTTGCCAGCAAAGGTCAGTCTTTGCTGATCAGGAGGAATTTCTTCCTTATTCTGGATCTTGGCCTTTACATTTTCTATTGTATCCAAGGGTTCAACCTCGAGAGTGATGGTCTTCCCGGTAAGGGTTTTCACGAAAATCTGCATCTTGGCGGTGGCTCCACCACAGATGGCGGATCGGAAAAAGAAAAAGAAAAAGAAAAAGAAAGCGCATGTTCATGGACTTGACAAATTTGTTCACTAACATGTTAATTTTCCCCAACTTAGTTTTTAATGCAATCCTAACCAAAATATAAGTAAGCTTTTCTGTAGAAATTGATAAACTGATTCTAAAATTTAAATAGAAATGCGGAGAACCTTGATAACTAAAATACCTGAAAAAGAAAAAGTTGGAAAACTTATACAACGTGGTATTTCATGTTAATATGAAAAAAAATTTAAAAATCTGGACCCTAACTTTAACCATATACAAAAATTAACTCAAAATTAATCAGAGGTCTAAATGTAAGAGCTAATAATATGAAATTTCTTGGAAGAAAAATGAGAGAACATCTTAATTCCCTTGAATTTGGCCAAGATTTCTTTAACAGAACATAAAGAACAAAGTATAAAAGAAAAAAAAAATCAAAAAATTGAAATTTACCAAAATTGGAAATTTTTGCTCTCTAAATGATAAACCATAAGAGAGAAAAGCAAGTTTAGACTTATTAACAAAATATATATTAGAAATATTAGAAATATTAACAGAACATATATCTCACAAGTGACTAATATTTAGGACATGTAAAGAACTATTATATGCCACTCATAATAGACAATCCAATAAAAATCAGGCAGAATATTTGAACACACAGGTTACCATATGCAGATGTCAAATAAAGACAGAGATATTGTCTTTAGTCATTAGGGAAACTCAACTTATAACACATCGTTATTTTAATATACACTCAATAGAATGTCTAAAATTAAAATGACTGACTGTATCAAGTGTTATCAGGGATTATCAGGGATATGGAGCAACTAGAACTCTTATATATTAGTAGTTGGAATATAAAATAACAAAATCATCTTGGAAAACAATTTGGCAGCATCTTAAGATGTTAAATTTATATTTACCATACTACCCAGCCCTTCTACTTCAAGGTATTTTCCCAAGGGAAATGAAAGTATATGTACATAAAAAGAGTTGTATGAGTGTTCATAGCAAATTTCTTTTTAAAACCCCAAAACTGAAACAAAAAGTCAAATTCCCAGCAATAGGTGAATGGATTTTTTTTTTTAAAAAAAATGATATATCTTTACTATGGGTATACAAACTTTTTCTGTAAAGAGACAAATAATACATATTTTCAGCCTTCAACTCTACTGTTGTAGCAGGAAAGCAACCATAAACAATACACAAGCAGGTGGGGTGGTCAGACTTGGCCCAAAATAAGCAGGATTTTAGCCTGCTGGATTTGCCAAAGCCTAATCTATACATAATGAACTACTACTCAGCAATAAAAAGAAATACATTTATTATCAGTGCATGTAATAACATGGACAAATCTTTAAAATAACTATGCTGAATTTTTTTTTAAAAAAACATACTATATGATTCCATTTATAAAATTTTAGAATTTACAAACCAATTGATAGTGACAGAAGGTTTACTAGTGGTATTTTCAGCATGTTTAAATAATCACTTAGACATGGTTTCCTTAGTTCCTTGAACATATTTATAATATTCTACTTAAAGTTTTTGTCTAGTAAATCCAACATCTGAGCTTCTCCAAGGACAGTTTCTAATGACTGTTTTTTTTCTCCATGTGTGGGAAAACTTTTCTGTTTATTTGCTTGACTTGTAACTTGTTTTTGTTGAAAAGTAGATATTTTAAATAACGTAATATGGCAACTCTGGAAATTAGATTCCCTCTCCCCAGAGTTGTTGTTTTCTGAAGTTTTTGTTGCTATTTCTTTGTTTAGTGAATGGCCTGGAATAATTCTTTATGGTCTGCATTCTTTGCCATGTGTACTCTTCAAAGTCTCTGTTTGGTTAGCTTAGTGGTCACCTAATGATTGTACAAAGATTCCCTTAAATTCCAATTCAAAGGATGATTTCAGTTCACACAATTAGAGTCTATGTGTATAGCTTGGAGAGCAGAGGCCTTTATTTTTAACTTTCAATAGAACCACAAAGGGAGAGGGGCAGTTTCCCAAAATAGGAGGAAGAAAGCAAAATGTAGGTGTCCAATTTTTGAAAACCCTAGACCAGGCCTAAATATCCCATCTTAATCTAAATTAGTCTGACTTTTGGGTTTGGTGATCCAGTCTTCATTCGGTTCTCTTTCATCACAAGTAGTCACATGGATTCTTATACTTATATAAAAACTTTAATTCATTTCCATTGATAATTAGGGAAAAGAAAAGTTTGAAGGCAGAATGCCAACTCAGAAAGAAGATAAAGATACTGTTTGTTGATTGATTTCCATATGGAAAGCAAAAATTATTGACCTCAACCAATATGCTCAATTGAAAGGGAAACATGGAGAATGGTAGAACTGTTTGTTGTAAGTTAGCAGGTTTGTGTCTTTGGTAATAATGCCTGCACAATAAAATGACGGGAACAGATTTGAGTTAAAAATGTTGAAAAGGTCATTCAATTGGACCTAATTTCCATTAATAAATGTTCAGAAGTTATACTGATGCATAGCAATGAACTAAATTATCAGCAAAACCCTCGTGACATAAAGACAGTGAGCTTTTCTGTGGTACATTTTCTATATTTACAACTATTTAATGACCAAAAGTCCCTAGGTGTGGGGAGAAAAAAAAAAATCTAGTTTCCAGAAGATCCTGGGAAGCATTCCAAAGAGAGCCAGATTCTTAAAAAAAAGAAAAATGAAAAAAGAAAAAAGGTGTCATAGTGTATCATATTTTACTACATTGAGACAGTTAAACTTTAAGACCTTAAACAACACTAGTTGAAACAACACAATTTTCTAAATAATAGCAGGTTAATCATGGTGAAAAACTTTATCCAAACATATTCACCCCAAAGGAATTTTAGTAAATGTCTTTTATTGTAAATTAAATAATAAGTGGCTAAGACAATCTTTTAACTTGTACTATTTTAGCGACAACTATTCCCATCAGTCACATTAAATCTACATTAAACAAAACTAATTACACACACGTCTTTGTGCTGGAAGCACAGCAGTTCCTTAGTGGACTTGTCTATCTTGCTTCTGGCTTAATTTGTTGAGATACTAAAGTGTATCAGTTTTCTACATATAAATTTTAAAGAAAGATACAACCCAACACTATAATATACAAGTCAAAAAACCTTTTATCCTACATGTTGGTCAGAGATACTTTGTTTTTGTTAAGAACTCTAAATAATCTTCCTAGAAACTAGTATTTAACTCATCATATACTCCAACATTTAATAGTAAGTAGAATATACTTTTTCTCTAAAAACCTGAACCCATTCCTTGGGCTCTCATGTTTTATGGACAGCTGCAGAGGAATAGTTAATGGTCATTAGTAAAATCTAATGGATATGTTTTTGTTACTCATGTTGTACTATATTTTAAAAATAAACCCTCTGGGGCATTTTGTTATTCTAAAATTCAAGGAATTTAAAACCATTGTTATAAGGGTTTAGAACCATTCTACTGTTTCCTAAACAGTTATATACAGTCGCTATGTCAAGATACTATATCAATTTAAAAATAAACATTTTTCCTATACCATTGTTATGGCAATAACTTGGCAATAAAAATAAAAAAAATATATATTTATAATAGAAATTACAACGTGTATGTATAAATGTATTAAGTGCTTACAACTGTGTCTTTTTTTGGAATTTCAGTTTTTTATGTTGCTTATAGTATTTTTTAATTTAGAAAAGTCTCAAAAAAAAAAGACTTTGAGAAATAAGAACTCTTTCAAATATGTCATTAAGAACTAATCCTGCTTCCTTCCAGCCATGAAGGGAATGATCCATATGCTCCCACACCCAGAGTAAGCTATATCCACAGTCCTGAAGAATAAGTCATCAAATTACTTGTTAATTATCCATAACCACTTTCAAAAAAAGATAGAGCTCATTTGGATTTATAAGTCGGAATTCAGGTTACAGTACCTATAGTTGCAGAAAATTGTTCAAGTCTATATCTCCCCACCTCATCGTTTGAAAATGTATATACAGCAGATCTTTTCATACCCCAGCCAAGAAAACATTTGCATTCTTCATGTCTGTGCTGGCTCAAATCCAATCGTTCCAAGTACTTGATGCCTCCTTGCATTCCCCTAAGTAAATCTACTTGCACCAAGCACATTTGAGAGACAGGCAGATTTTCATAAAGATTTTGTAGAGAAGAAAAAAAAAAAAGATTTAAAGATTGCACATTGGCCTCTGCCACATACCCTGCAGCATATAATTTTGTAAATACCCATCCAACTTGTATCTCCTTCCTAGCCCCTCGGGCAGTTCTACTGTAAGCTGCCAACTCAGAGAAGGCAGTTTTCTTTTCCCCTCTCTTACCACCTAAAACCTGGCTTTTGTCACCACCATGCAGGAAATTATTCAAAACTTTATTTTAACCAAATTAGCTTTCCTTGCAAAGGAAATCTCTTACTAACTCCAAAGAAGTTAAAAATATTTATATCCTTATGTTTTCATTATATGCTTGTTGCACTTAACAATGGTCCTTTGCAAAATCTTAGTAATTGATGAGGGTTTTCTTCATGAGGGTTATTGAGTTCTATTCACCTATGACTCAAATAGCTCCTCATAGAAAATATTATAAGCCCCCTATTGGTAGTTGGGAATACAAAACTCCTCAAAAATAAAAATAACATTCATTTACATGGCTTTCATACTGAAGCAACCAACACGAAGTATATAATCTTCTCAATGTATTTAGCAAAGATAGATGAGGCGTAAGAGGACAACATAGTGTCACCCAACTATGAACTCTGATAAATTTGCCAATCCCTGCACCAGAACTATTCATAGCGATTTTCCTCAAAAAGGGCATATCAAAGAAAGGTTTCTTGTTTCCGGGGCATCCATGAGCATCTCAAATTCTGTTTACTACGTTATTTAAGTAGAGAATCGTCCAGAGCAAATTCAGCCTCAGAGACACTTGGTGATTTGGAAAGTTCCCCAAACCATTCAAGAGCCAAACACCT